GTGAGGATCGGTAGGAATTGATATGTAGAAATGTAAGCCTATATGGATATTTTGTATGGTAACGGTTGGTTTTGCAGGTCTGATAATTAAGTGATATTATCATATCAATATTGTGGGATTGAAATCCCTATGTATCTCACCAGGTTTCCCCAACCTGACCCACTCAATTTATATGCATCACAGGTATCAAGACTTAAGCTATTTGGACTTGATTAGGATGTTGAGTGATTAAGAGACATCTTGCAATAGTATTCAGGACGATCAGGTCTTTACGTTGTAACTTATGTATCTGTATTGATTATGACATCCTCATGGTTTTAACATTTTGGAAACAATCATTTGTAATTAAAATGATCATTTGTACTGGGATTTTCCGCAAATATAAATAAATGATTTTTAAAGTGTAAAGAAAATTTTTAATTGGTTCTGGAAATTAGAGGATGTCACATTGAATACTCTCCTTCTAATTGTATCATCACATAGTGATTGGTGTACACAAGTGCAAATGTAAGGACCTGATGATTTTGAAACTCTTTAGGGCATCTCCAAAGAGGAAAAAAAAAGTTATAGAGCCTTCATTGGTCAAAAATTGGACGATCACACCAAGCTTGTTAACTATCAAGATGCTTGTCTCAGGCATAAGCATCCAGTGTTTTGTTGGTGCTGACTCGGTCTTCATAAAGAAAGACAATGAAGTAACTAATTCATCGCATCCAACGAAAACTCTAGCGTATTCGTCATATGAACTCAGTAACTCATCTAACAATTGTTGACAAATGTAAATGTCGCCGTCGGAGCAATGTCGCCACTAAGTCGTCGCTCATCGGAACTCTCCAACCACCATATCACCGTTATTAGGGTCCATTATTTCCTCTCTCTCTCTCTCTCTCTCGACAGATTTTACATCCGCCACCGCCATCAGATGGCTACCACCAAGTCGTCTTTGCCATTAGAAGATGAGAAAATTACCAGCCTTCGTTATGGTCAATCGCTCAATAGCAAAGACACAATGCATGTGTTGATATATAAGCAATTTCCTTTTCAACCGCCATTAACAAGCCTAGCCTAGTTTTTTTTTTCGATCTTTCCTTTAGCCAATAAACAAATTAACAGTCTTGCTTATTAGTCTTTCTTACAAGGAAAAAAGTATATGGACAAATTGTGATCTCTAAAAGAAGCAGTAATTAAGGACAATGATAGGGAAATAATATGAAAAGTAGGAGAATACTTAGTTTGGTTGATGAAGTTGTAAAGAGATGAGATTACTTTTTTCCGGCGAACAACTCCAACGACATTATTTTCCGACAAACATATTTTCTGGCATCTATTTATTTAGTTTAATGATTTCCATTTTCTGAAAGTTTTGTTATTAATAATGTGATTAAGTTCATAGTAAAGTTTAGGGCTAATGTCATAAAAACCCTCAAGTTTTCAGGGTTTTGTCGGTTTTGCCCAAAGTTGAATTTTATGTCCGTTTTTACCCTAACATTTTCCAAAAAATGTTCGGTTTTACCATTTTACCGGTGATAACAGGTTACCATCATATTAACTTCGCAAAAAACCCTTAAGTTTACAGTTTTTTTATGTTTTTACCCTTAAGTTTATAATTTTTTGTACACTTTTACCCTATGTATTTTTTTTCTTCATATTATACGTATTCATGCAGAAAAATCATATTTATATACGAAAAAAAATTTAATTAAATATTGTATTTACATTTTTTAATGTTATTTCTTTATATATATATATATATATATATATATATATATATATATATATATATATATATATATATATATGTGTGTGTGTGTGTGTGTGTAGGTTTTTTTCTTGGATAAACCATTTAAGATGTAAAAAAAACAAATTAATATGTTTTTAGAACTACAAATAAGTATTTTTATGTATTTAAAAATATACATATCAATAAAAAAAACTTGTTCAATCATGAACATGTTTATATAAGTATATACATATATTTTTAGAAGTGTAAATATGTATTTTGATATATGTTTTTTTTAAAGTATAAATATATTTTAGAAGTATAGATACATATTAATATATAAAAATGTAAAAATATGTATTTATACTTCTAAAAACTATATCTATAAAACACGTATTCATAATTCTAAAAATATTATTTATCTTTTTAAATGATATAACCTTGCAAAAACACACACAAACAAATATATATATATATATATATATATATATATATATATATATATATATATATCTATATATATATATATAACTGAAAAATACAATATTTAATAAAACATTTTTTCGTATATAAATACGATTTTTCTGCATGAATACGTATATTATAAAAAAAATACTTAGGGTAAAAGTGTAAAAAAAATTATAAACTTAAGGGTAAAAATGCAAAAAAAAATGGTAAACTTAAGGGTTTTTTTGCGAATTTAATATAATGGTAACCTGAAAAATCTGTTATCACCGTAAAAGGGTAAAACCGAACATTTTTTCAAAAATGTTAGGGTAAAAACGGACATAAAATTCAACTTTAGGCAAAACCGACAAAACCTTGAAAACTTGAGAGTTTTTATGACATTAGCCCTAAAGTTTATAGAAATTGTAAATTTAATTGTTATGGTTTTTTATGTATTTATTTTCTAGAAAATAGAGTAGTATGGAAAATATAATATTACTTTCTTGAAAATAGTTGTCCAATTGAAAAAGTTAAAATAGACTGAGTGTTTAATAGGATGAACCGATGAAGTGTATAAATAAAAACTCTTAAAAATATTTTCAAAATAAAACCCAATGACAACATGTATATTAGTACTACTTCAGCAACAAAGTGGCAAATATTGTTTTGAAATTTAAAATACTATTTGCTCGTATTTTTAATAGGGGTGACAAATCAGGTCATCGTGTCGTGTTTTTGTTTGACACGACACGACAAGCTTTTATATGACACGAACACGACACGACACGATATCGTGTTTTTTTAACTAACACGAAAACGAACCAATTAACAAACGACAAACACGACACGACACGACAAAGATAACATAATATAAAAATTAGTTTATTAATTAATATTTAATCATACATAACACGACAAACATGAAAACACGACAAACAAATTGCTTAATCGTGTCAATTTCATGTCAAAATTTTAACACGAACATGACACGACACGACAACATGTTTTTTATAACGAGCTTTTGAAAGTTTTAGAAATTTCTTAACTTTTAAGTAAAAATGAACTCGAATTAAAAAAAACTTTATTCGGAAGTACAGTTTAAAGTTTTTATTTTAATCAAAACCCTCTTAATCCAAAGGTTACTTCAATTAGTTTTTAAAAGCTTTTAACTTTTAGATTTTATATAATTTTACATCTTTTGAAATGTTCAAACTATTTTTATCAAACATTTCTTTACATATAAAAACACAGTTTCACCTACTTTTTAACAAAAATACATTATACCTGAAATGGTTTAAGCACATGTTCAATGGTTAGAAACAAAAAAGTTTACAAAGTACTATCATCTATAAAGATAATCTAAATACACATAATATGGCTTATGAGTTATGAAACATCATCTTATATGGAGATTATCAACGTACATGGTTGGTGAAACATCAATTCCGTTGATGTCTCATTTATAGTTTTCTTTTCATATTTCTTGCATTACATATCGGCCCCATTTTGTAATCAAAACTAGGTCTTACATCCTCATTAGTGTTGTCTTCTATGATTATATATTAAAAGAGAAATTACAAGATATTCATTCATAAAAAATTTAAAAATTAAAAAAAAAAAAAAAAAAAAAAAAAAAAAAAAAAAAAAAAAACCTTCTTCAAGTGGACCATAATTTTTTCGTAATTTTTTTTAAGATATCTGTTAGGAATAAATTATAATAATCACACACACAAAGACAATTTTTTTTTGAACGACGGGTTAGTATATGTCTGAGATATAGCTCATCACCTTGTTAGTAACTCATTGCTAGACACCCTGTTAGCCAAGTGAGCTAGCCCCAACTTCAAAGACACTCTATTTGCATGCTTCAATTATCCCCACGGCCATACATGACAAATACTTATCCCGTTGAAATTGACATTGGTTTATTTTGGATCTTCAATTCTCAAGTCACATTTAATAATAGTACAATAATTGCTCAAAGACGAGTTTACTAATGATTTTATTCGGTTGATACACATATCAATGTCTCGGGTCACTTCTTTTAGTTGACTTAAATGGTGATAATTACACTTTTGAATATTAAAAAGGACTATAAAAAGGTGATGTATTTCCCACATCAAATCTAATTTCTGCGGTGGACAATTAGAATATGTGACACCATATGTATAGAGTAAAAGGGGATTCAATGGTTTATAAATAAAGAAGGATTTGAGTTTTCATAGTTGTTTCATTGAGTTGAATCTTGAACCAAATCATGTATGTTTGATATGACTGTATAGAGAAAAGTAAAATGTTAATTCATATGTAGATTACTGTAGGTCAAATACACCTTGTATGACCAATGATTTAATTTGTTCAATCTATGGATATTATACTATCATCTCTTACTGGGTCTAGAGGTTAAGTATGACTATATTCAGTTAAAAACCTTTGATTCGGTTTTGGTTCTTCTGAAATGTCTCTTACTCGGTCAAATTCAGGGTCAAGTCTTACTCAGTCAGACATTGACTCATTCAAATCTGACTTAATCATCAACTATCAAACAACCCCCAAAGTCTTGTAAAAATCCATCATCATAGATATTTACTTATATTCTTATCACTTGTGAAATTATACCTCCTTATTGATAGAACAAGCATTCAGGAACTTATAAAAAAGCACAAACCAATAAAAGAATTATTACAAACCATACTAATTTTTTCACCAAAACAATCAATCAACTAAAATATATAACAAATCTCAAACCAAATAAATATTTGACCAAACTATTAAGAGTAACACATTACTTTACATCATTGGCATTTCAAATGCTAGTTAGTTTCTACAAGTATCACTACAAGAAAAGGAACAACTTTGAAGATACCATTGATTGCTGTTGTTGCCTTTTTATCCAATTAAAAAAAAACAAAACAAAATCGATAACTTGGTCATTGTCGTTAAGGGCATTTTCGGTATTTCATTGATGGGAATTGGGAAGAAAGATATTTGGAAATGGTTTGGGTTTTGTCATGTAGCTATTGATGCTGGTCTTCAATTCTCAAAGAGACTAGTTCACTTTCGTGTTGCTGTTGTTGACTTCTTGACTTTAACTTCTTCGGGAAACATCTTCTCAAACTTTCCGGTAACCTAGAAATAATAATAATAATAGTTTATAACCAAAAGTCAAATCAACACAACAATTTAAAAAGATGTGTGGAGGGCATTATCGTCTTTTTTGCACAATCACAGTCACAGTCACAGTCATAGTCAGTCAAAAAAGACTTACAGATCCAGTCTTTCATAAATTGCACGTCGCACCGAAGAATTGAGGCCATATGCTATTGAGTTGAAAAGACCCTGCAAAATGTCTACATGTTACATTTCTACAATATATATATATATATATATATATATATATATATATATATATATATATATTTTGTCAAAAATTACCTCTTTGCCATTGTAACAAATAATCTGAGGGTATCAAGTAGAGTCACAAGATACCTCTATTTCATATTTTGATATAATTTGACAGAAAGTTAAAACAATTTATTTAAACAATGTGATAAGTCAAGAGGGAGTCTTTGAAGATTAACATGAATCATGCTAATTTATAAATAAAAAAGTAAAGAGATATAAATGTGTTAAGAAGAGATTTACCATTAATGCAGCCATTCCAACATCAAGAATAGAAAGCCAGAAAAGCTTATGACCTGGTTCTATAAAGTCATGAATACGGTTGACTGTTCCAAAACTCCATGACCCTATAAGAATCAACGGATAGTAACCCCACCTGTTCAAAGCCTACACAAATTTTAAAAAAAAAAAAAAAAGAATTATTAGGTAAAAATGCGTATTTAACACTATAAATATAATGTTGACCTCATTTATATAATAATTCATGTATTAAAGCAAAAATACCTTCATGTCTACACGTGTATCTGACTGAGAGCCCCGATCAGACATGCCCACTGCCATCTGAAATTACAATAAATGTCCTTACACAATTTCCATATTGACTTATTGTAACCCATATAAACAAAAACAAACACAATGAAAGGCAACATGAGTAGAAAACAATATAAACTTACACGTGTTGCATTGTTTAGCATGCGTATCACTTGAAAATAAGTGAACCCATTGAAAAGAATTGCGCCCCAAAGAGGTGCATAAAATGTAAAGAAGTGGACAGCCTGTACAACAAGAAAGTAAATTTACATTTTCACCCTTCAAGTTTTGGTAATGACATTATATAACTAACAACCTTTCCTGTTCTTCCGGTTTCTGTCCAGCACCATGCAGCTACACGGCCTATGTTTCCTACATGTCCATGTTCATTACCAATAGATCGTACAACTGTCATAACAAGTGAAGTTCCTATGATAAAAAGAAAAAGAAAAAAGAATCCAATTTAGCTTTCATTAATGAGGAATGTGAAATGGCTCAGGGAACATATAATTTACCAAATCTATTTGGTTAAGTAAGGGATCATGAGTGCATACCCCAAACATACAAGTGAAACATGGGCTCAAAATCCTCAACATCAGCTTTGTGTTTGACAACTGCACGATGAAGAGTAAAAGCAATAGTAGTTGTCCAAAGGAAAGATGCCACACAAAAGAAATGAGTGCTGTAGCCTTGGGCATAACAGAAGAATCCTTTAGATGGATCACTGCATATAAAATACAAAAGTAGTATTTAGTCACTGAAGAATCCTTTAGATGGATCACTACATAGAAAGAAATCCATGTTAGTGAATACAGAACTCTAAGAAGAAGAAGAAGAAGAAGCAAATTTATTCCACTTCACTTAGTATCCATACCCAACAACACTGAAAAAGCTGCAAAGCATATCCTGCAACAAGAACAGAAAAGAAAGAAAAAAACATAAGTTATTACCTTCCAGCCCTGCATTGAGATTGATTCATGCAGAAAAAAATGTTGGTTTTACATCGGAACAATTCCAGGGATTCTAATTTGATATTATGACTATGTGACCTTTTATTCAACAGATTAAGCAAATGGAAGTCTAAGCGAAGAACTCAACAAGCCTCAATCACACAGCATGCTAAAAGGGTAAAGTGATAAATTTCTTGGAATTGAAAGCTCATGCTTTGTTGATCCCAGCAGAGGTTTAATAGCACCAAAATGCATATACTAGAGCAAAATCACATTCTATTACAAAGAGTAAGGTTAACACAACCATCCACTCAAGGTTTGTTCCAATTTAAATGTAAAATGGAGTACATTGATCTAATAGAAACTAAGTGTTTAAGGGGGGGGGGGGGGGGGGGGGGGGGGGGGGGGGGGGGGGGGGGGGGGGGGGGGGGGGGGGG